TAAGATATGTTCATTTGTAACAAGCTATTATCACAAATTGTTGTTAAAGTACTGCTCCATAACCTATTATTTTGATTGGAGCAACAGTAAGCCAAACAGAGCATAGCTTAACATGCTGCATTAACTGAGTCAGTTAGAAGTTATTAAGATGAATTTGGAATAAATGGGAGAGGATTCGTGAGACTTGCTGATCCTCAAAACTGTTGAAACATATGAGTGGAGTCAGAGCTGAAATGTTTCCAGGATTGTTTCAATTAAAAATAATTTCTGTGAAAATAAAAAAATTGAAATATGTCTTTGTGTACCAAATTTTGTATCACATGTAGAAAGAATAGTGATTATGAATAGTTAATATAAAAATGTTGATTTTATTTTACAAATATTTAAATTTATTGGGGTTTTTTAGGTTTGAATGAATACAATTGTGAAAATAATGTGAATCCTTGTGGTGATGATGCATACTGTAATAAAACCAAAACATCAATTTTCTGCCAATGTAAGCCTGGATTTCAAAGGAACAGGAGAAACTGGCAATGTGAAGGTATTTCTGGAGAATTTCTTATATTCTAAAAATGTTTCATAACATTACTAAGTAATGTCAGAAGACTGCTTTTAATAACAGTTAAAGGCTAAAGGAAGTCACTTCATTTGTGGCAACTGAAATTACAGTATTTTTTTTTAATTTTCCCTGAAAATTAAACAGTCAAAATATAATTAAGAATTTTTAAAATAGCTGCAAAACTAAGAATTTAGTTGACTTTGTTATTTCTTCACTTAAAGGAAGCTAAGGGAAAAAAACCCACAGAGAAATGTCTTTTTAACATACACTTCCATTTAAACATTATTTAATATTTATTCAATATAATTATGTATATGTCACCTTTCAGAATAGTCTTCAATTATGTATATCTCACCTTTCAGAATAATATTCCTCTCAAAGCACCTTAAATCAGTAGAAGGAGAACTACAATAAATATTTTTAGCAATGAAGAGATTTATGAGATTCCTTTCACCAGGCAGTTGCTAATAATAACCCAGGTGGGAGAAATGAATCCAGTCTTCCTCCTTTTAATTTAAGGGATCTTCCTTTAGCCTGGGCATGGTAGCGGCCTTGGTGGAGGGAGGGAACTGTCCAGCTAAGTAGGCTTCCATGATGGTATTTGGATGTCTTCTGCTTCCTATATTGCTGCTTAACCTGCATTGTTTTCAGATATTTGGACACAGCTAAGGAATTGTTGAGTTTTAAGGTTATAGTGCTACTATTATAAAAGAACTCTGATACTATGAAGTTTGTGGAAAGGGAATATCTTATTGCAAGGGGACTTGGATCATCTAAAACAAAGTATCACACATTTCTGAATCTGTATACTTCTGTCTGCTTTATGTTCCTTAAATATATTGGTAGTGTGAAAAAAATAGGAAATAGTGGAAAGCTGACAGGGACAGATAGCACATTACTACTTTGAGGAAATCTGCTACTTTGAGGATGGATGGATATATATATATATCTCTCTTCCCACAAAACTATGTAAAAGAATACCACTGCTTCTCTTGTATTGGCTTGCAACAAGATGTCTTTTGATAGAGATGTTATGCCAGACTTCTCTATCTCACATTTACTTGCATTTCTTAAAAAAACACACTTTTATCAAAGAAAGCAATAAAATCTTTCAGGCTTACATTATTAAGTATAGCTAAAATACTTGGGACTTGGGAAGCAGGGATTATACTAAAATCTGTGGCAAATGAAAATATATTCTGCACATTATGCCAAGTCCATCGATACCCCATATTGTTACCTATGTGTCTAGATTCATTTTATGGGAATGTGGCAAAGACAAAGGAGATAACAGAGCAAACACAGGTAATCCTCGCTTACTAACTGCCTCATTTAACAACTGTTAGAAGTTATGACTGTAAAAAAATAGCTTTGTGACCAATCCTCACATTTACGGCTGTCGCAGCATCCCATGGTTACGTGATCACCATCTGGGCAGTTCGCAACTGTCATGCATTTATGACTGTCTCGGCATCCCACAGTCATGTGGTCGCCATTTGTGTGCTTCACAACTGGCTTGTGAGAGAGTTAATAGAGAAAGTAGAAGTAAAATTGTAAGTCACTTTAATGGCTTAATGACTGCGGTGCTTTGCTTAATGAACAAAGGGGAAGTGAGGTCATAAGCCCATCACGGTCATATGATTTTCTACTTAGTAACTGTGGTGCTTAGCAATGGAGTTGCTGGTCCCAACTGTGGTTGCTAAGTGAGGACTAACTCTATATCCAATATTTTTCGGGGGGAAAATAGGATAAAAGAAATTGGAGATACACTACATAAGCAGGTTTCCTGAGAAAAAAAGAGAGAAATAAAGTAATAGTGAAGGAAAGGGAAAATAGAATTAAAAGCTTATCAAAAAGTTCATTGAGTCCATTGGAGCTGGGTAGCTTATACATTCAAATAAATGAATAAACAAATAAATAAATGAATAAATAATCCCTTGTCAAGAACAGCTGAACTCTCTATTCACATGCCAACAATTCTAGCATCTTTGAGGTACGTTCACAATAATGATGCTAAAGTGGAATCATCCTTCTTTTCCCCCTCCAAGCTTCTAAATTTTTTCTCACTTTGTATCTGAGGTTTTTGCAGGGGGTACTTAATGAAAGTATACAATTCAAGGACAGAAAATGTGTAAAATATATGAAAGATGATTGAGAAATATAAATGAAGGCTATTTTACAAAACACAGGTCATTTCCCACATGAATATTATCTTACTGCAGTATACATTTTTGTATACCACAAAACTCTTTGTTTTGGATTTGAAATATGTAATAAAAAAAATCAAACAATTGGGAAATGGCCTCATAATTTGTTATTGTCTTCACTTGGAAATCAAAACATTTTAATCAATATTATGAATTTGCTCCTCATCAGGGGCATCCCTAAAACCAGTATAATCAATAAAACATCTAAACTTTTTCAAACCTGTTGAATTGTAGCCAACTTCCTATTAAAAGTATTTTTAGCAGCCACAACAACTGTGAATTTATGTAATTATTCTGAACCCAAGAACTTCTTTGATATTGACTGGTAAAATTATGTGAAATTAATCCAATGAATCACGTGAAATGAATCTGAAATTTTTGGCATGTACCCTCTGTGGATGCCCTGCTACTTATTTGGGTTCTAAGATGATCATTCAAAACACTGTTAATTTATACCTTGGCTGACCCTCTGCATGGTTCAAAAATGATTCAGAAAGGATGTCTCATCTCTTATGCAAGCACAGCACCTCTCTGCTATCCCTTTTCCCCCTCCCACTAGGCTTAGTTGTGAATCTGAAAAAAAGGGTGGCTGCTTTAAGAGTTATATTAATTATAATGAAACAGTTCCTTAAAGCACAGAAGCCAGGAAAAAGGGAACTGCTTTAATGAATAGCACAGAATTGTCATGGTTGCACTCATGTAAGGTTCAAATAATCTATTTCTAATTATTTCCAAATATACACTGCTCTTTTTGATATGTACTATACTTTGAAGTATGAACATTTCAGATCTGCAGCTTTTTTGCATTCATTTCACATGATTTTACCAGTCTATATCAAATGTGCTCTTGGTGTCTGATGGAATACTTATAATTTGGATTCATGCTTGTGGTGACTGGTTAAAATCTTTTTAATATACAGTTGGCTATAATTCAGGAATTTTGAAAATGCTGAAATGTTTTGCTGATTATATTGGTTTTAGGGATCAAAGATAAAGCTTGAAAATTGTATTTATACCTATGATAAGAGGTTTCTCTGGAGAATTAAGAGAGGAAAATGATAAAAGCAATGTCATGCTATCACAACTCAAGTTCTGTCCCTTTTGTATGTGTGGTGTGATGTCACACAAATGTAGAAAAGCTGTGGAGCTTGCATCAAGACAATGCAATACCACTTTCATCATTTTGAAGAAAGCATTGGATTCTATGAATACCTGTGGCTATGATACTTTAAACCAGGATCACACAGTTTATTAGCTCGAGGGCACACCAGGCTTTGTACTACATGAGAAGGGCTGCATTCCAGAAATGGGCAGATCCAGGGCCATAGCTCAGGCCCAATTTAGGAGAGGATTTCAGAGTGTCAAGGTGCTTTACAGATATTGTGCAGAGTCCCACATTTTTGACCCATCCCACCCTAGAGAGCTCTGGGTCTTACAGAAGTGATGCTGCAGGTTCCTAGGTTGCACTTTTTGTACTCCTGCTTTAGACTACTAAAATACTGTTTATGAATTGTTTTGCCCTATGCTAAATTTGTTTCCCAGTTTTATCTGCCCCATCTTTTTGCAATAGCTTGCCTGTGAATTGAAACAAATCATTAACAAAATTTATTTTCTAGATATCAATGAATGTCTAATATTTGGCATCTGCTCCCAACTCTGTATCAATGTAAAAGGGTCGTATAAATGTACTTGTGAAAAAAACTATAAAGAAAGAAACAGTAGTTGCATTGCAAAAGGTAAGCTGACAAAATAATTCATGATGTTAGTGCACACAGCAGTCACAACCCTTTCATACACAAGGGCACTGTGCTTATGTGCAACAGGAACTCAGTAGGACATGATGGAAAAGTGTTTCTCTTCTGTACCTGGCCCTTAACTGGAAACAAAGCAATACAGTAATTGGTGAGCTTCTGATGTCAAACTATTTCATTTATAATCTGGTTTGAAATTTTTCACAATCCTGAATATGATGGAAAGTGTGAACAGATGTCCCATGTTTCTGACCATGCTAGTGCATTGTTTCACTGCATGGCATGCTTGTCTGGGACTGGGGAGGAAAAACAAAGCATTATTAAGCCTTATCAGTATCCCCTGTGTGTACATGCACTATGCATCTTCTGTTCAAAAAAGAACCACATGGAGAAAGCTTTTCCTCAGGTTCCTGTTTGAGACTGAAATCCCTAAAGACATGTAATGTAATTTTTGCAGTTTCTTTTTTAAGACGAATAATTGCTTATGCATCTGAATTTTGTTAATATACATTAAATGTTGCATTTATTACACATTTATTACAATTAATAAATTAAAATGTAATTTGTTTGTACTTCTTGATTTGTACCATACGATCTGCTTGGAAAATGGTCTTACCCTCTTCTCCTGCCAGTGGGAGCCTCTATTGATTGTATTGTACTATTTTCTGTGAATAGAAGGAGCTATTTCTCAGAACAGTACATCAGGATCCCAATCCTTTCCTTAAATACATTAATACCTTGGTTCTAGAGGTGTGTAAATTCTCCTTGAAATATTGCTCATCTTGCTGAAATTATTTGAAATTACTCAGATATATCCCCTGATGAGGTACCTCCAAGTTTGTTTTTATTTCTGCTTTTAAATACATTTATAAGCAGCCTAAGATGGGCCCTGAGACTTTTGGGCTTCCAAAGGGTTTCATTTAAGGCGAGACCAACATATTAACTCTAATGGAAACTTCATTGGATTTCTAATGTTTACACACAAAACTTGCAATTTTAGATAATAAAACTGTACAGCCTCCATGTGCTTTCTGTTATTTATTTGTAAAACATGCTGCAGTGCCCTTCACTAGTAGTGGTTTTACAGCAATTTACACAAATAAAATTGTGGAACTGTAAAATACAAAATAAAACAAGTAGCCAATAACTTAAAACCACAGACCAATTTTTTTTAAATGCCTGAAAGTAAAGTATAATGCCTGGTATCTGAAAGAAAATAATGTTGGCATCAAATGAAATTGTCTAGGGAGAACATCAGAAATCATCTGAAATTAAACAGTTTTCTTGGTTCTTCTAGTTGTGTCTCTGACAAGAAGGAAACAATGAAAGTCCAGCATTGTGGTCTAAGAGTGCTCCTCCTTAGATGAAGTCCCAAGTCTTTTTTTAAAATGAACAATAATACTTATAATTTGACTAAAAAGCAGCAGCTTTTAAATTCATAAACTTTCTAAGAATATCCCCACCATTTTGGGACTGAGCTTCAATTTATTGACTATCATTCAGTTTTAATAACAGAGTTCATATGATAAGATGAAATAAAATTCCTGTTGATGAGACTCACTTAGAATTCCCAGTAATCTTATAAAATAGCTCTGTATTATACCAAAGGGACAAGACGCAATCCTACAGACCTCATCCCAAGACAACTCTTTATAACAAGTCTTGCAGTTAGGACCAGGACCATATGCTTCCCACTCCAATGTGAGATCTAATATTTCAAAAAAAAAAAATTGAAAATAGGGGAAAAAAAGAGTGTAATAAAACTTTAGCCTACACTTTTGGAAACAGATACAGAAAGCAATAATTTAAAAGAGAGAGAATGCGTTCCAGTCTATATTATTATTTAAATGAGAAAAGCAATGTATATGTTGGTTAAATACATTCAATTCAATTAAAAATTATCATAAGGTTTCATTCCACACTCTACATAATTCTGGAATCATCCCCATCAAATTCAGAATTTAAGTGATGATTTTAAAAACATCCAAAGATAAGTAGGATGTGGATTACAATAGAAATCAACAGAAAAATAACCCATATAAATATAAAACATTAAAATACATGAATTGCATTTCTTTTTAGTAGTTGAAATTTACTTTATTTTTGTATTTCATTACAATAATCTCCAGGCTCTGAAGATCAAGTTCTCTACATTGCTAATGACACTGATATCCTGGGTTTTGTATATCCATTCAACTACAGTGATGTTCATCAACAGATTACACACATTGAACATAACTCAAGAATAACTGGAATGGATCTGTATTATCAAGGGGAAATTATTATTTGGAGTACTCAATTTAATCCAGGAGGCATTTTCTATAAAAAGGTCAATGGGGGAGAAAGAAGACAAAGCAGTAGCGGTGTAATAGTAAGTCCAATATACTGATATATTTTGCTTATTTTTATTTTGAAATTCTTTCCGCTCTTCTCTCTTCATTGTGACAATTTCCAAATATAAAAAGTTCCAGATAACTTAGAATTCCAATTCTTAGTCCTTGTTAACCATAGTAACACAATATAGATTAACAATAATATGAAGGTATGTGTTGTTTTGTTCCTGGTGATGATTGTTACTGTGATAAAAGAGTGTCTTCTTCAGTGTAAACCTGTTCAAAATTACAATCACCCTAAGAATAAAAATATCTACACATGTTGAAGTTACATGGGTTGTGACCAAAGAGAAGACATAT